CCAGCGGTTTCCCCTTGCAGCCCCAGCCGCACACGACAGCGCTCCTCTGTTCCAACGCCATTTATTAAGAAGCTGCCAACCCACAGCAGCCGCGCCCTGAACTTCAGCGGATGAAGCGCTGCGCGGGGTTTACGCTTCGGCCTTGGCGGGGGTCTTGGCTGCAGCTTCCGCCCCAGGCTGCGCCGGGCCCTTGGCTGCGAGCTTGGCCTTGGCCTTGGCTTTCTTCTCTTCCTTCAGTTTATGCTAAAAAAGACCAAAAGAGATCATCAGCACAGAACCCGAAGCACCAACGCCTCCCTCTCTCGCCAGCTTCCCCGCCCACTCACGTTCTGCGCGTGGCGCAGGATGGTGTTGCGGCGCATGGTTTTGGCGTAGGGGTTCAGCTTGATCATGATTCTCAGGTTCTTCAGTGGGTTCTTCTTCAGGACTCTGCGGCGAATCTTCTTCCTGAAAAGAACAGACACGTGTCACCATCTCATCTCACAATTGCAGCTCTGCTAAATTTCTCCCTGAAACGTGAAGATCTGGAATTCCAAGTATTTATACCCAGAAATTAAAGGAATCCCAGCCCTATTTAGTGCAGGGAGATTTCTCATCTCACTACAAAGCCTTGCACTCAATTTCTAAAGAGACTGGACTTTGTGTCAGTTAGATAAAAAATTATTACTTTGGAGCACGCAGCGCCTTCTGGATTTCCTGGCTTCTCATGATTCTTCCGATGTCCGTATTGGTCATCTTGTGCATGGGCAGGCTGTGAAAGAAGCGTTCATAGCGTGAGCTGGGTGATAAAAACGCAGCCCCTTCAGTAAAGACGGGCATTTAGGAAACAGTACTGGCATTCCTTCTCCATCTCCTCACAGAAGGACCCGTGACACGGACGGGCTGCCCTCCCAGGCCCGTTTTACCATTTCTAAACGTTTTACAGGTTTGGTTTTTTTAAGCGTGCGATGCTGGCTGCGCTTACTTGTAGTCGCTCTTCAGCGTGGCAGCCTTGCGCCAGGTGCCGTACAGATCATCCAGCTTGCGGAAGGCGCTCTCCGTCCAAATGCAGAAACGCCCAACGTGGCCGCCAGGAGCAAGCCTCAGCAGGTTCAGCTTGTTCACGTCGAGAAGAGTAATTCCTGCGGAAAACCAGACAAACCAATCTGTAATCACAGTCAAGGAGTGTGAGACTGAGAAGTAACCGGATGGGACAGCACACAGCAACGGACGCGGGCTCATTGCAGCGTTTCACTACAGTTACATACACCAATGTACGAAAATATTTTAAATTTTAAAAAAGAATGAGCAGCCTTTTTCCAGCAATGAACTCAGCCGCCCCATTTTTCACTGCTCCAAATGCAGTTTAGGGGTGGTGACAGCCATAAAATTTGCCACAAACATCCTCGACATCACCAAACCGGATCTCAGAAAGAAAACATTAGCTGCCTCGGCAAGTCAGAACTTCCACAAAATCACGGGTTTCAGAAACACGGACCAATGAAGTGGAATCTCATCATTCCAGGCCGTCTATCAACAGAAGAGTAAGCGTCCCCCAAGTCACAATTACCTGGAATATTCCGGAAAGCTCTAATGATACCATTGTCCTCGTTGTAGATGATGCAGGGTCCCCTGCGCTGGATGCGACGGCGATTCCTCATTTTACCCTTTCCGGCCCGCATACGCTGGGAGGCATAAACCTGTATGAAAGCAGAACTGGTGAACACTCACAGTAGCCCAAAGGCCATTAGCCAGCCACAATGGAACTGCTTTAGGCAGAACTTCTCAATCATCACTGCTCATCTGAAACACGGAGCAGTGAGCAGCTCATCATTCTTCAGAGTAAAAAAAAAAAAAAAAGTGGTATTAACATTAAGCAACACCGGAACAAAGACAACTACGTAAAGAGTAAAGCAGCGTAGTAAGAAACTTACTTTGCTTAAACTCTTTTTTTACAGTTTCTCGTAGTTTTGTTACCCAGGGATTTCTAGCAGCAGAACTATTTGGAATTCCTACTACGGCAGAGCCAAATCACCCAGGTTTCGCTCCAAAGAACACACCTTCGCAACTCACCTTTTTGATGTCATTCCAAGCTTTAAGCTTCTTAAGAAGGAGAACAGCTTCCTTGGTTTTCTTGTAACTCTCAACTTTGTCCTCAACAACCAGAGGAAGTTCTGGGATCTCCTCAATGCGGTGGCCTAGCGAGGATTTTACAAGACATGACATTACCCGCTGATCTTGGCTGTACGCGCTTCTCAAGGTCATCGCCTCGTGTATTCAGAAATGATACGAGGTGATAAACCGTGGAAATTAAATTCATAATCTAATATTCAGGCAATGGAGCCTTGTGGGCCTGCCTCAGTACTTTCTCTACCTGAGTAAATATTAAGCAAACCTTTGGCTTCCATGAACAGAAATCAAACTGAACTGCCATGCGATTCAAAATTCAGTTTCCATAAACCGCACGGACAAGAGTCGCGTCAGTAACGCACGCAAAGGCACCTCAGCATCACCAAACTTCCAACTCCGCGTAACCGCCCCGTACCTTCCCAAGTCGTACGTAACAGTAATACACCCCCCCAAGGATGGGCTGCCTCTGAAACTCTTTAAAAGAGCATTTCGTTACCCACAATAAACACCTCGAGCGATCACACAGCAGCCGACGCTGCCCAGGCAATGTAAAACCGCAGGCGAACATTCCCAAGAGACAGAATTCCCACCTTTTGACATGACCAGTGCTGGGAGCGAGGGCTGCCAGAGCGGAACAGATGGCGTAACGCTTTTGAGTTGTGTTCACTCTACGGTGCCAGCGCCGCCAGGTCTTGGTCGGGGCAAACATGCGGCCTCCACGACACATCTACGCGTCCACCGTTAAGACCAACCTTTTTGAAGCTTCCTTTTCTAGCGTGACTCTTTATTCCTTGCTCAGTGTTAATTGTTCGTCAACCATCTGTACCAGTACACCGACAGCAGGCAACTGTCACTGAGCACAGGGTAAGACGCAAATTACGACATCATGGCAAGACAGCGCACGTCACGAGATTCAAGCTGCCCACCACCTTTGGCAGTGGAAAAAAAAAATTAAATAAGACGCAAATTACGACATCATGGCAAGACAGTGCACGTCACGAGATTCAAGCTGCCCACCACCTTCGGCAGTGGAAAAAAAAAATTAAAAAAATCAAAGAACGCTTCTGTTCATTAAAGAAATCTGAATTTGCATACAGAAGGTTCTGCTCACATTACAAATTTCTCGGTGGTCCACTACCTCAAGAAGCAGAAGATTCCATTTCACATTTAGATACTTAAAAATATTTTTTTTTTTTTGCTCGATGAGTTCAGCTTTACACCCGGCAGCTATGAAAGGATACATTTCCAAAGGCACCCTGGCCGGAGCGGTGAGTTCCACCACCTCGTACTCGAGGAATACGAGCAACGGCTCTCCCAGTACCCCAGGATTCCGCACTGGTCTGATGACCTGGAACAGGAAGGTTTTAATTCAGATAGTGACAACACTGCAATTTTCACACGGACACCGACAGACAGAATTCAGGACCACCAGTCAGAACTTCCACCATTATCATGTGTTTCAGAAACACGGACCAATGAAGTGGAATCTCATCATTCCAGCAAAACAAATCCTGATCAGGTAAATTAACTCAATGTTAAAAGATCTGCTTAGGTCAGAATCAAGTACATTAACATACTGATTCCTAAGCTCAGTCCTCAGTTTGGAGGTCTGGCACTGCTGTTCCTACTGGGTTAAAATGTTGATGTGAAACACCATCAGAAACAAACTTGAAAACACATGTTCTGACACAAATTTCCCAGGAAGCAGCAGCTGCCTGCACCTACTGGCCTCTGAAGCAACTCTACAAATGCCCATTTGCAGAGGTTTCTTCTTGGCAAACGCCTCAGATGAGCCTCCTGTGCTCGATGTGGAGGAGGGGCTATAAACCATGGTTTTTCATCAGTTTCTGCCTGATACACTGTCAGACCTTTTGTGTTCTTCTTGCAAAGAACATAGATTCCACTCGAGGACCTAGGCGGCACGATGCTGAGTAATACACACTTCAGATCAGACCCCAGCGTACTCCAAGACTTTTACAACACCTTGCTGTTCTTCAGAATAATAATAAAAAAAACTGTATTTCATACAACTTAAATTAGATTGTTAATAACCAGAACAGTTGCCTTGCCTTCTATACAGAATCCCACTGAACAGCTCTTCTCTTACTTGGATTCTAAATTTATTTCACTTTTAGCCCACCCATATGAAAGTCAAAGGCTCTAACGAGTAGCTCTGTCTGTTTTGTGGACAAGCCATACCTGCAAGTTCACTGACAGCATAGGGCTGCCTGTTGTTCTTGCGCAAATTCGTGTGAACGAAGTTCACAACGTCAGGGCGAATGGGAGCCTTGAATACAGCAGGCAAGGTGACATTTTTGCCTGATGCTTCTCCCTTCTCAGAGTAGACAGATATTAATGGTCGAGCGCAAGCCTGAAAAAGAAAAAAATTATTAAGCACAAGTGAAGCAAATTGCAAGTATTCAAATCCATCAAATATTGCTCAGAATGAAGGGGTCTTCAGTTCAACAGTGCCAGCACACTGACAGCAGGCAACTGTCACTGAACACTGGATAAGACGCAAATTACATCATCATAGCAATAATTTTCACTTAAAACAGTGCTCCACACTCGGAAAACTACACCTGAGGTTTGAAATTCAGTAGATTTTCAAGTCACGTGGGTAAAAGTAAATCTTGAATTGAATCCCTGGGCTCTTTAGTAACACCTTCTAAACTACTTCTCATCTGCTATTAAAAAAACTAAAACCCACCTGTGTTTATTCAGTTTACCAAAGGCTTCTTATTTAGATTATGTTTAAGAGCTGAAATGCGGTAACTGACTCCTCTAATACAATCTAGAGGCTCACAATGACTACAAGCAAGAAAACTTACTACTGGAGTGATTTTTTTTGTAAAGTCTGGGCCCTCTGGATAATCCCTGGTGCCTCAAAGTTTGGCGTGAAAAATTCAGCTGCTAGCAGCACCATCTTCCTTTCAAAAAACTGAAAAGAAG